AGGGATTTAGCTCAATGACATAAGCACCTGCCTGACAAGGATGAGGTCATGAGTTTGATCCCTGGCACAAAAAAAAAAAAAAAAAAAAGCCTATACTGTTACTGTTTTGGGCTCTTATAGTTATTTGTTGTTTAGTTTTTCCCTCCAATACAGAAAGGATAGATGTACATGCATAGGCTTACATATGCCTATAACTTCACCTAAAGGGTAAGAATTAACTTTTAGTGCGTGTGATGGTATGAACAGCTACACTGAAGAGGACCAGACACCATGGCAGCCATCGAATGATTTCCTATTATTTTGATTCGAAAACCAATAATGCTTTTGAATCAATAAAATAATAATAATAAAAATTCTTGATTTTGATAGGTTTTAGTCTGTTTTAAATTGTTTGATTCCAATATGTATGAAGATGTGGACAGCTATTTTGAAGAAAACAAGAGACATTGCGGTAGCCTTTAGTGATTTCCTAATGTCTGGTCTTGAAAGCCCGTAAGGCTCTTATTCTTTTGTTTTGATTGCTTTTATACTATCTTGATTTATATCAGCTTATTTTGTGTGAAGGCATGGACAGCTATTTAAAAAAAAAAACAAGAGACATTGTGGTAGCCACTGTTGATTTCCTGCTGTCTTGTTCTGAAATCCTGTGTTATTTGCATTGTTTTACTCTGCTTTGTTTTTTCTGTTTTGTTTTGCTTTGCTTTACTTTGTTTTATTCTCTGTAAAATAAAACAATTTAAAAATCCACTTCAATTTACAGTAACTCCTTATAACAATAATTTAAAATTATTTAGAAAAACATACATATAATATTAAAATATACCAATAAGAATGTAAGAATAGAGCCCAGGGGAATATATTAGCAATGAAATAGAAGCCAAGGGATATAATTTTTAAAGAGGCTGCACCCCAGAGGTGCAGCCCATGATGTTCTAGAAAACTGAAGGATGGATCTTGTGTCACAGTGTATCTATGGTGATAAGTAGACTCCAAGTATCTTGCTGTGTCATCTACTCTGCTGTTAGTGGAACAAGATACCTGACCCCCAAAATTTAAAGGATTTATGTTAGCTCACAGTGTTAATGGAGTCTTAGCTCCAAAGCAGAAGCACCACGGCGTATGGCTTGGCACCAGGAAGTAGAGAGAAGGGGATGAACCAGGGACAAGATTGTTATACTGACAGTGATGGGTTGGCAGTGATAACCAGCAACGGGAGTTTCACAAGGGGCCTGGGGAGGATGCCATCATCACGTTATGGTCAGGAGATCAGATCTGACCAGTGCTGAGGACCTTAGTCCCCATTTCAAAAGGCTGGCATTGGGGAAGCCTCACAAGACATCCTGTGTAACCCAGATGGGAGCAGAGAAAAGATGGATCTTCCTATATTGGAGGGGAGTGAAGGGTAAGGCCTGCAGGAGACGGACAATAAGGAAAGAGAAGAAAGCGGTGGGGAGAAAGAGAAGAAAGTGGTGACGGAGACCACTGCAACATGACACTCTCTGTATTTAGCTCTCTGTATTTACTCATGAGCTCTCTGTATTTACTCAGAGTAAATACTCTGTATTTACTCATGTATTTACTCATGAGTCTGCCCCAGGCCCAGGCTCAAAGAGCAACAGTTGGCAGGCAGGCAGTGCACCTCTCACGTCAGTGGTCACGGTTGAGACCTGTGTTGGTCGATGACACTGTGACACCTTGGAGGGCAACATAAAGCCACAAGTGAGAACACTTGGTTTTCACCCAGTTCTGAAGCTCAGATGGCAGCAGCAGCCAGGAATGTAGCTCAGCGGCCTAGAATCTGCCTGGCAAGTGCAAGGCTGTGAGTTCAAATCCCAGTCAAAAAAAAAAAGACTGAAGTTGCAGTCATTGGCTCTTGCCATGGTGCCATGAGTGTCAACCTTAGAGATAAGATGGGTCTCTTAATGAGAAAAATTTACTGCTTGGAGAAATCTCCAAGCAGAAATCTCCCGAGGTCCTGCTCAGTTTCCCACCTTTACCTCAGTATCTTGTTCCACTATCTGAAAACCTCATAAATATGGATGATCCCAAAACTCGTGGATTTAGCTCCCAGAGAGTCCTGATCTTCCTAGATTCCCCCAAAGCCATATTCCATTGTTTCCTTTTATTTAAGCCTTCGCTGTAACTCCTTCTAGAAGACTGGGGCCCAATCAGTCCCTGATAGGGAGACAAGGTGGAGGAGCAAGGAAGAAGGCAAAAAACACACAAAAGCTCATCAGTGCTTCCCAAACCATACACAAGACCTGTCAGTAGACCCAGGGCTACTATCACTGCCAACTACACGAAACCCAGGGATCTGTGACGTTATGTTGGACACAAAGGATGTTATTTCAAATCCATCTCATTTTACCACAACCACTCCCTGTTTTCAAGCATTAGTCTGGTCTTCTTTTAATCATTTGAGCATTGACCTCTCCAGTCTCCTTTCTTCCTGTTTTTCTGCCATCTCTCTGCTGTTCATGTAACTTACAACATCCTCTTGCTTCTATGGGTCCAGAGGTTACATAGTTGTCTTCTTTTTTGGATCTCAAGTCTTAAAATTCCCCATTTTTCAGTTGATCCTCTCCCTGTGCTTCAGAATCATCTCCTCCCATTTCCACCTTGTGCCACAGTCCTTTCCCATCACAGTGGAGGATGATGACCTGTCCTCCTGGACTGCTTCACTAAGAGGGACAGTTCAGCCATATTCAGGGTCACTCAGAGATAGCATGTCTCATCATCATCGGGCAGGATGTCACTTCTCTGAGTTTCAGGCTGATCCTGCTCACCCTGCATCCACATCACCCACAAGAGCTTGGGTAGAAGCTGGAGATGTGGTACAGCAGCTACCGATGACCAGGACCAGAACTGGAGTCCTTGGACAACCAGGTCCTAGGCCTTTCTATAAGGGACAGTAACATATTGAAACAAAGACTTGCACAGAGACTCAGATCTCCATACCACCTTAGATAGACTTATCTTTTCTGCATCTGGACATTTGGTATCCATCTTCTTCTTCATTTGGTATCCATCTTCTTCTTCTTCTTCAAAGAGAAGGGGAAGGTATGATTTTAGAACAGAAAATGTTTGGAGAAGGAGTACAGGAGTAACCTGGTCTCTGGAGGTGAGTCTTTCCTGAATCAAAAAGACCCAAGATAAAATGAGGGCAGGTGTCACTGAGGAGCTTATACACTCTCTCCTGATACTTGGGTGCTGGCTGCGTCACCTGCAGATACTCTGAGCCTTTGGCCCACCATTCGGAAATGGTCACCATGAATCTTTCTGGTAGCTCTGAAACCAGATCCTGGAAAAGCTACCTGGTTTGAGAAGCCTTCTGTGGCCTTCACAGAGTACAGCTCACAGACTGTGCCCAACTGCACTTCAATGGGGTCTCAGGAAGGGGAGCTGTGAATTAGAGGAAAGAGGACAAAATGGAATGCGTGGAAACAAGAAGCAGGAGTGGAAACAAGAAGCAGAAGGAAGAAGTCCTGGTGTTCTCAGACCTCCAGCTGACTTCCCATCAGTGCTCATCTTATTGGCATGACCAAGAACATTATCAGAGAAGTGTCTTTGCTTCAGATGCAGCCATTCCATCTTAAATTCAATTCTCAGCTCAATCCCATCTCAAGTTGAATTCCTTTCAAACCAGAATTTCTTCTTGCATGGAAGCTGACTTGAAGGTGGAGAGTGGGGCAGTATGAGAGACGCTGGCAAGCAGAGTCAAATGTCTAGACCTCCAGCATGGAACCCTAGGGACAGCTGCCTTGGGCCTGGAGGAAACCCTGCACTGCATGTCCTCCTTCCTCTCTACGACCCAAAGGCAAGGGACAGAAGCAAATCACCACTCCTTGTCATCCCGCCCACTTTCTGACAGTCTCTCCAGCAGGACTGGTGATGTAGTTCAGCGTGAAGGTCCAGGGTTCAGCGCATACACACACACAAAGCAAGGACTCTGGAGCCATCAGCCAGCAGAAAACTTTCAGTCAGCAAAAGCACTTGTGTCCTAGTCTCCTTATTTACCACCCAGAGGCAATGTCCACACTTTCTTCTCTGTGGCTTTGGACTCTGTGAGTGCTCCTGCAGCTGGCATGGTCCAGCACTGTCCTTCTGTGGCCATACTTATTGTGGTTGTGACCATCAATCCCTCTTGCTCATCTGTGGGGACGTGCCTGACTGGGATCCCCATCTGCAAGAGCAACGCCAGACGGTGCCCAAGCCGGCACCAGCGTGTGTTGCTGGGGAGCCCCAAAGCTTCACTAATCTGGAGGCTTGTCTGAATTTGCCCTGACAAGTGCGGCTGTGTTGGGGGCTTTCTCTCCTGGACAAACAGGGCTCCCAGCCAGCTGGAGCTGCAGTGAGGCTGACCCCCACTGGGGGCGTGTGTCTCCTTTCTGTCTGTCACTTAGGTAGGTCGACAGGGATGGGAGTGGGGTTCAGGCAAAGAAACTATAAAATGACTGCGAAGAGAGAAGCAGAAGTCAGTTCTCGGTAGTATAGGATGGGAGGAAATCTTACACGAAGTTCAGTTTTTGTGTTGGAAATTTTAAATCACGTTGCACTTGTAGGTCAGGCTTTTCAGGTACTTATTTCATTCTCTAACAAATATGACCAGCCAAGCAGTCCTGGTATTGGGTCTGGTCTTACACTAAATCGAGGGTCTCTTTTGAACAACCCTGGCTTTTAGAGGCTCGCACCGGACGCTCACGCTCACTCCGTGTGTGGTAGAGGGCGGCGGCGTGGATGCTTCCAGGCCAGGCGATGAAGAGTGTGGCAAGGGCGCTCAGCCCAGGTCGTTGGGCAGCTGCTCCAACCTCCTTGGCAACTCCTTCCGGGCTAGTGGAGACTCTCCCTCCCGGGGCCCCGCCCCCGCTGGCCTCGGCTCCGCCCTCGAGGACATTGGCTCCGCCCCCGCCGGCCTCGGTTCCTCCCCCGATGGCCTCGGCTCCGCCCCCTGTGGCCTAGGCTCCTCCCCCAATGGCCTCTGCTCCGCCCCCATTGGCCTCGGCTCCTCCCCGCTGGCAAGACTCCTGCCCCTTGACCCGGGCGCGGGCCGGAGGCGGGTCTATAAGGGGAGTTAGGCTTGACGGTCCCCGCTCCACTCTGCCGCAGCCATGCACCGGATGTGCGCTAACTACCGCCTGCAGATAGTGCTGGGACACCTTGAGGGTCCGGGAGCCAAGGCCCTGGTATCCTTTGGATGCGGGCGTCCGGGGAGGCAGCCTGGGGCGCAAGTGTTTTGGTCACGAGGGTCGGGCAGCCATGTCCCGGGGTCCTCCCGTGGCCGCCTCAGCTGCGCGTCGCGCGGAGGGCCCGAGGGCCGTCGTCAGCAGGGGACGCGGGCCTGGGGCCCCGCAGCCCGCCCCGCTGGGCTTGGGCGCCCTGAGCGCAGGGTCGACCTGGGTGGGCGCCCGCGGGCTGAGGCTGAGCAGCCGCCCGAGGCCCCCAGCAACTCGGCTCGGTCCCCGGGGACGCGGGGCGCAGCCTCCGAGCCGGCGATTCCCTCACAGGCTCCGCCCCGAGCGCAGAGGTCTCGCCGGGCTCTTGCTGCGTCCTCAGCCTGCGCGCCTCGCGAACATCCGTTGGATTCTTGCTCCTGCTGTTCCTGGTTGTGATAGCACTGGGCATAGAATTTAGTTTTCTCATCTGTGTCTCCTACACTTTCTGGAGGATGGCAGTGTTCTGTCCCCGAGTTGTCTGGTGAGATAGCGTCTCCAGCCTCCCGCCGCTGCTGATCCCTGCGGTGTGTTGTTGTTTATTTTGTGGTACAATGAATCCAACTCGCAGTAGCCAGGGAGGCACTGTGCCGCTGAACTAAATCAGTCCCCAGCACTGCGTGTTTAACTTTAGGTGATTTTGGCTAAATAGCCCGCTGTGGCTATAACCGGCCAAGGTTTACAGTGAATGTAACGGTTTCTCCCAAGCCTTGTTTCAGAGGAGTGTGGATTTTGGAGTAATCTTGAGCGCACTTATATCCTAGGCTGGTCTCGAACTCGCAACGATCCTCCTACCTCAGCCTCCCTACTGCTGGGATTACAGGCGTGAGCCACCACTCCTGGCATGGAGTAATCATTTTTGCAATGTGTTTTTTAAAAACGCAGACAAGTAGAAAGGAAAAATTAAGTACCTATAACTCCTTGTTCTACCAGCCACAAACCATTATTTTCACACTTTTAATGTTTTTTTGGCATTCATTTTTTTCACCTAACTTTAAATTGTAAACATTTTCAAATCATTAAAAATTTTTCTAGGAGTAACAAAAGTCCCGGCACGAAATTAGTGGAGAGAGGACAAGCATATTAACAGAAGGTGGAAGCTAATGTCCACACAGCGACCTTTGGCTGGGAAGAGTTGGCCCAGGGCGGTGATCTTCTGCCAAAGAGGACACAGACAGGAGCCAGTGACAGATCTTTGGCTGGCTGTTATCTGGACTGGTCGGTGTCACCCAATTACATAAAGCCACTGTTTCAGAAGTGTGCCATGCTTGTGAGAAGTGACATTCCGAAAGCAACTCAGAAACAAGGAGAAAGAAAGGAAACACCATGGCAATAGCCTGCAATGATTGGAGAGGAAATTTTACAAAAGGAATTTTTGGGCCTTTCAGATGTTTAAAATTATACTTGGCTGGCTCATACTGTTCTTAGGATGATTTATTTCATAGACTTTTGCTCCTAAGTATCAGCCAAAGTATTTTGAATATTTGGAACTGAAGTCCCTCTAAATTAAATACCTTTTGTAAATAGACCACATTTCTCTCCTTACTTCAAAAGTTGAATTTTTTTTTTTAATTTTCATCTATCTTAGAATATTGGAGATTGAGCCCAGGGTCTTTACACTGAGTTACATCCCTAGTTCAGTATTATGGAGAGTAACTACTCCCCAAGAGGACTGTAAAGTGCATATATTGCAAACATGCACTTGATAGATTCTGCTAGCCTAAGGTTTAGCTGTCTGTAACATGACATCCGCCCAACTTGGTACTGGACCCAGAGAAACAACTTAGCTCTCCAAGAGTGACTTCTGCGGTCTCCTTATTCCAGAGATTAAACCTGCTCCCTTTTTGGGAGTGTGCCGAGCCCTCTCCAATCCCAACCATCCCACAACCACCCTAGCCTCCACCCCCAGCCCCCAGGAAATCTGTCTCCTATTTCACACAGGCGGATATGCCCCTTCAGATCAGCGGTCAGTATGTCATTTTGCCCACCAAATTCCTCCCCTAGCCAGAACTGGTAAAAAATAACTTCACTTGGGTTCTCGCTGAGAGCCCCTGCACCTCTGTGAAACTCTTCCATGCCCATATCAAAGGCCTTTCTGTTCTTTGCCCCCTCTTCTGCCTTTTCTGTGCCGCCTCAGGTTGAGTGCCAAAACATAATTAGTTGGTACCGTTCAGACTCAGAGTGGACAGGGGCCACTGCTCCTGGGGGGGTCTATCCCCAGTTTGAGGACTCCCCTGCCTCTGCAGGCCACTCTTTCTCTCTCTGTCTCTCTTTCACTCCTCACTTCTGAGGGATCCCTGTCACTGACTGCCGATACTAGCTGCCACACACCCAACACCAGCCCAGTCTCATCTCATCTCTTCTGGTTCTCACAGGTGAGCCACCTCTCGCTGCTGGGATGCCTGTCTCTTTAAGTCGTAGGCCTATGCTGGGACCCCATCCTTCTAGGCCCCCCTCTTTGCTCCACCAGTGATGACTGCAGCACACAGGTGTTGGGGATCTCACTGTCACATCCCCTGCAGGGGTGCTGACCTTACAGGGGTGTGACTGGCTTTCAGCCTTTTGGCTCACCTCCAATTCAATCACAGAGAGCAAAGTTACTTCTTGCTCAGCAAAACACACTCCACTTGGGTCCCTGTTGAGACAGCTCTGTAACCTCCAATCTCTAAACACTCATTGCCCCAGAGGCTCCTCAGAACTACAATTCAGTTGCCACCCTCTGTGATTTGTTACCTTAATGGGGGAAATGGTCGGGTTCCTTACTTTAGTCAGGTTTTGCTCTCAGGACATGCCTCTCCCTCATTCGGGCCTGGGAGGCAGCCCGAAAGATTTCGGCCTGCTCCACACTGCCAGAACCTTACCTGACAGTTCACTGACCTTACAGACAATATCCCTTCTCCTCTCACCCCCGTACCCACAAAGCTTTCCTGGTTCTCTGCCACCATCTTCGCCTCCACCTCCTACCTGCCCCACTATTCCTCCACTGCCAACTTCTCTCCTCCTCTCCTCCTCTCCTCTCCTCCTCACCCCTCCCCTTCCTGCTCCTCCACCACTCCACGGGCACCATTTTCTCCACCACCGTCTTGTGGCCCCTGACACTTGCCACCATCTGGCACCCTCCCACATGCTGCCTTCATTATCCCTACCCCAACCACCTTTGACGTGTGGCTCACTCCATCCTCTCCTTCCCCTTTGTGAGGTGACAGGTACCAAAGACATCATCTACATTCATGTTCCTTTTTCCCTCTCTCATCTCTCATGAATCTTCCAGCATGGAACATCCTTTGCTGCTGACCCATACAATTATATCAAAAAGCTTAAATACATTATTGAGTCCTATCTACAAAAAGCTTTATGTTATTCTCACTTCCACTCTGTCCCCTCAACAAAAGATTAAACTCCCGTTTTATTTCTCAGACAACAACAGACATTCAGACTAAACTCAAAAAGGCAGACCTGGGTCCTCAATCCCCCCAGAGAGACCTTTTAGATGTGGCTTTCCATGTCTTCAACAGTAGACAGAAACAACAAAAACAGGACACCCTTTAAAAGGTTACATTCCAGGGTGATCTTAAAAAGGCCTCAGGCCAAGCTGAACTCCAAGGCCAACTCCTGGCTACAGAGGCTGCAGCTGCAGTGGCACTGGGAGCTCAAAATAAAACACAGGGCAGAGGAAAAAAAATCTAAAAACCCAACCGCCGCCCCATGGGCTTCAAGTGCAGTAGATAAGCAACTCTGGCCACGAGGCTGCCCTGACCTGCGGCCATGACATCTGCAGCCAAGAGGGCCACTGGAAGTGCGGCTGCCCTGTCCACCAGAGAGCAGGTCAGCCTCACCTTCCCTGCCCCCACAGCAGAAGTCACCCCTGCCTTGGGCTCATCGCTGGCTGCTCTGCTCAGCATCGCTGCTCCCCCCTGAAGTCTCTGTCTTAGGGGGGACATCTCAAGTAACACCCTATGTTACCTTGTTGACAGGAGGCCACACACAGTGTCTTCCTGAGTTTTCAGGCTGGTCTTCAGTGTCCGTTTGATGTGGGTTCGTAAACAATTTAGGAATTCAAGCCGCCAAATTGATAAATTTGGAATTTAATTAGCTGAGCTCAGCGACCACTGTTGTGGACCCATTTCAGAGTCCCACTGAGTGGCCCTGAACTAGAAAGTTACAAAGCTTTTAAACAGAGAATCACAGAAAGACATTCTGCTGGAAACAGTTTAGCTAGAATCTCACATTAATTTTTGGCTGACACCTGTATCCTGCTTCTTTTGTTGAGCAGGTTAATTTTTCTCTTGTGGATGCAGCTCATTCTGCTTTTCTCATGGGCCTTATAATCTTGAGTGATTTTCCATTTTCCTGAGTCAAGTATAGGGCACTGTAAATGCAGGGCTCAGGATGGTGTGAGTTAATGCCAAGCTACAGCATATGTGGAAGTTGACAAAACCTACTCTCTGCAGATTCCAAACCCTTTCTTTACACACAACTGTCTTACTATCTGGATCTGTCCTGTTCTTGCCTACAACTCAAATCCAGCCTCTCCCTACCCTTTATACAAGCTCCCACAGTGCCCCACCTTCATTTCCACCATCTCCAACACTGATAACAAAACCTTAAGGAGGCTTAACTACACAGCCAGCAGCAATATGTCTGTCACTCCTGGTTTCCTGTACTGTCAGTTTTACACCTCCACACAAACAGGAGACATAACTGTAACAGAGGTCAGAGCCTTGGGTGGAGGCTGAGCCTGGCTTGGTGGCTTCCCTCAGTGTGATGCGGGTTGATCACTGACCTCTCCAGCTCCTCCTCCAGGCTCTCCTGTCACTTCCTTAGGCTGTTATGCCTGACACAAAGAGATGCAGATGTTGGGCTTTATGTGTCCACATTGCCAGTCAGGGCTATGCATGAACCCGGGGCACCTGGTGTCCACTGAGGAAAATGCCTCTCCAAGAACTGTAGCCAGGCAGGCAGCTGTGCCTGGAAAACACTGGCTCCCAAACACTGTTTGCCTTAATTCATGTCCCAGGGAGCTCACCCCACCTCAGGGACTGCGTCCCCGGCCGGTGTCCAGCTTCAGCAGTTCCAGTAAGTACTGTGCATCCAATTTCTGGGTTATTTTAAAGCAAACAGAAAAAAAAGGATATAAATGATACAGATTAAAAAAAAACAGGAAATTAACACTGATTAATAAATTGTATTTTGCTATCTTAGAAGTAGTTGTTCAGGTTATAGTATCTACGCATAAAAACAAACAATGATAGCACAAACTTTTTGATAAACTAACAGAGATTGGGAGAATTTCCATCTTTAATTGTGCTATGAATATAAACGTTAACCAGTGGTAATAACACAAAAACAGCGTGCCGCTGATTACAATTTAGTAATGCTCTCTTCCGGGATTTATCCTTTCTGTTTTGAGACGGAGTCTCACTGTGTAGTTCAGGTACCTTCAGCTTCCTATGTGGCCCAGACTGGCCTCAAATACAGCAGTCCTCCTGCCTCAGCCTCCCAAGGATAGGATTTGTTCTAATGATCACAAGTGTGGAGCATCTAGAAGACCCTTACCTTAATTTTTTACATGAATTCTAAAAATTCAGAAAAAAGGAAAACTACCAGAAAATACATAATCTGACTTTTGAAAATCCAAGCGTAAGGTATCATACTTAAATTGTGGTTCTGTGGATATATTAGCTAGTGCACTGGTGAATATGTGTGTATGTATGTTATGTATATTACATGGCATGCCGTGTATATATACATGTTTCTGAAACAGGGACTTCCTCTGTTTCCCGTGTTGGTTGTCAACTCCTAGGCTCAAGCAATCCTCCTGCTTCAGCTTTCCAAATTGCTGGGACTATATAAACAAGTTCATTATCTTAACTCATCTTTAAAGGGAAGACCTTGCGCTTCAAAATATTTTCACATAGACACCATTTCAATCTTAAGAATTTGAGTTTGTGGCTGTACCCTATTCTCACTTGGATTTTGTTACTTAGATTACTTCTAAGAATATATTGATTAGACAATTAAAATGTAAAATATGTTGATTTCCCATCTGAAAAACTATATATATTCATTGTTTTTAAAAAAAGAGAAATAGAAGGAAATCTGAAAAAAATACATGATGATATTACTGAAAAGCAATTCCTATTTTTAAAAATGTGGCGGGAGTGTATTTCTTTGCACTCTGTTTTACGTGTAGTGCCTTGTTTTACATCATTGCAATCACACTTATTGCCGTCACGTGATGGTACTGTCCTTATTTTTAATGCCTGAGTTATATTTCATTAAATAGTTATGTCATTAATTTTCCTTTCACTTGTACACATTTTTGGTGACTACAGTTAATGCTTTAAAGCTTTTAAATTTTTTTCAGATTATTAAAGTTTCAGAAATGTTACATTGAAAAGCATCAGTATTTCTTAGGTTCTTGGTACATGCTATTAGGTTGTCATTTAAAATTTGGTCTTCATTTGGGAATATTTTGTGTCCTTCAGATATACTTTGGATAATGACATCCTCACATTGGAGCAGAGAAAATTTTATGAAGATAACGGATTTCTTGTCATTAAAAAACTGGTATCTGATGCTGATATTCAACGCTTTCGGTACAGTAATGTTATTTGTTATTTTGCAAAAATATGTATTATTTGTATAAAGTGATTTGGAGTTTTTTGGCTTTTTGAGACAGGGTCTCAACAGGTAGTTCAGGCTGGCCTTGAATTTGCAGTGATCCTCTTGCATCAGCCTCCTCAGGGAAGGATTACAGGCGTGTGCCTCCACTCCTGGAGTTTAATACTGTTTCAATGCTGTGGTTCCTTAGGCAGTGTTTAGGAGCAGAGCTAATGTGCTACACTGTGGCTTTAATCACAGCTCGCTGCCAGACATGATGTGACCTGGGGTAATCATCTCAGCTTCCAGGCTCTGGGTCCCCATCTGTAAAATAGGCACAGTAATAGTTATGTCCTAGCACTGTTGCTAGCACAAAATAAGGAAAAATATGTGGGCAGCACTTGGCACAGGGCCTGTATATGATGGGTGTTACAGAAGTATTTGCTCTGAGCATCCCTAATCCAAAATTCCAAAATCTAAAAATACACTAAAATCCAAAACTTTTTCACCATTCAAACACCACGAGTGGAAAATCCACACCCAATCTCATGCCAGCAGATTAGTATAATGTCACTTTCAGGCTAGGTGTGTAAAGGGTATGGGAAACATAAATGTAATTTGTGTTTAGACTTGGATCTTATATCTAGGATGTCTCATTATATGCCAACATTTTTAAAAAATTAAGAAATCTGGGCTGGGGATACAGCTCAGTGGCACAGCACCTGCCTGGCAAGCACAAGGTTCTGAGTACAAATCCTGGTACCAGTAATTAATTAAAATAAAAAACAATACATAAAAAAGTTAACAAATTTTAAATACGTCTGATCCCAAGCATTTCAGATCAGGCGTATTCAACCAGTATCCTTCCAGTGTAACCACATCAAAAAATGTTTCCCTATGTATCTGCTAAACCAGGGGGCCCCAACCCAGGTCACTGACCAGACCTGTAAATCCTATTAGGACCACAGGCTGTATAGCAAGAGGTGCCAGGGAAGTTTCATCTGTCTCTGCGGCACCCCCTGCCTTCCCTTCTGGCAGTCACAGGAGTCTGAACCCTGCTGTATATGTGAGAAACCCACATTGCTGGCTCCTTTGAATCCTGCTCCCCTCCCCACTTTGTGGGATAAATCACCTTCCATAAACTGGTCCTGGTGCCCAAAATGTTGTACATCACCAAGAAGGAGTATTTTAGTTTCTACTGGGAGGATAGCACGCCTAATCTGGCCTTTTTCTCCTCTTCCCATCAGAATTACCGTACCAGGCCTGAAGGCTGACTCTTAGCAAATCTTCCCACAGGACAGGGCCAGCGTGGTGCTCAGAGCCAGTGAAAATCACACTGTGAATTTAATTTTCCAGGGATGAGTTTGAGAAGATCTGCAGAAAGGAGGTGGAACCCCCAGGAATACAGATAATGAGAGATGTGAGCATTTTGAAGTCAGAACACACTGTAAGTGAGAAGGTGGTTTCCAAGGTGCAGGATTTCCAAGAAGATGAAGAGCTCTTTAGATACTGCACTCTCCCCCAGGTAAGGGCTCTGCCTCTACTTGTTTCTGCTTAGCAGTCAGCATATCTGTCCGCAAGTTTGCGTTTTATTTGATTCCATCCCTTTTCACATACGGTGCTAGCACAGTGGTTCTCCCCTGGAGGTGGTTTTACCCCACGGTGGGCATTGGTGGTGTCTGGAGACATGTCTTATCATCACACCAGTGGGGAGGGTGTGGTACTGGCTTCTCATGGGTAGGGGCCAGAGATGCTGCTGATGGGCCCAGAGATCCTGAGACACACAGAAGAACCCTTTGCCCAGACTAAAAATTATCCCACCCAGCAGAGCCAGGACTTCGAAACCTTGCTATGGTTCGAACCTATGCTCTGGTTCTCTTCCTCTAAGACAGGAATTCTGGATTGAAAAGAAAGCTCTTCTGAGCCCTGCAACACAGCAGTATCCACAGGAGTAAAATTTGGGGCTGTTATTTATAAAGTCATTTGTTTTGTTTTGTTACGACTCTGGACCATAGAGGTATGAGTTTGTTTTTAAATTTAAATTGAATTTTTTTAAAAAAAGTATTCTTTTCAAGTAAAGCGTGTTTATACACACACGCTGGCAGTACAGAAGGTCCTAACTTGAAGAGATCCTTTGCCTCTGGCCCGATGCTCCATGAAACTTTTAGTGTATTCATCTGGAGCTGTGTTATGTGTATGCAAGCTTATTTGTATGCCCTCACATTTTTTGTGCATATCACACAGGCACATATTATCCATTGCCTTATTTTTTTTCACTTACAGCAGATCTCAGACAACTTTTAGTCAGTGCAATAGTTAGTCTTCATTAAAGCACACTTCGGAGTCGGTGGAGCGAGTACAGCCTTGGGATCTAAACCTGGTCTCTGACCCCTTCCTCAGGGCGCCGCTTCCTGGCTGCTGTGAGGTGGACAGTCTCCTCTCCCATGTGCTTCCTCCTAGTTTTGCCTTGGAGCTGGGTCACCATGGACTGAAACCCTAAAACCTTGAGCCAAAATAAGGTTTTCCTTCCTTTAAATTGTGGATTGTGGATGGCAGATATTTTGTTCCAGCAAAAAACTGACTAATATGTCACTTTTGAGTGCACTTTATACCTTTTATTTTTATTGTTACTTTTTCTTTTTTGAGACAGGGTCATACTGTCTCATTCAGGCTGGCCTAGACCTAATGATCCTCCTGCCTGCTGAGTGCTGGAATCACAGGCATGTACCACCATGCCTGGCCACCAGCTTGGTTCTTGTGTGGGTAGCTGTGCTGTGTGCCTCTTACCTCTGATTTTCCATTAAGTTAACTTTTTCCCCCTTTTGTTTTAGATTCTGAAATATGTGGAGTGCTTTACTGGACCTAATATTATGGCTATGCACACAATGCTGATAAACAAACCTCCAGATACTGGTAAAAGACTTATTTTTTAGGGAAAACAAGAGAAAAACACTGTAGTTAAAATGTAAAGTTGATCTTGGAAACCTGATCAGGGGTATTGTCAAACTTTGAATGAATGAATGTATGTACTTTTACTTAAAACTTTAAAAAGCTATTATAATAGTGATTTCTGATGTTAGCTTTAGGTTTATTGTAAGATTTTTAGGTGATTACACGAAAGTGCACCTTAACAACATAACTCTTCATGTATTATTCATATCTATTCAGTACTTCTGTGCCTTACCAGCCATTCCTAGCCATGATAGCATAGATTCTGCATTCCTGATCTGACACAAAGATACTTCAATCAATCACACATTCAAGTTCTTAAAATGTCTTGTGCTTGCCAAAAGGTAGACCCTAAAGCCTCACTTGCAGAGAGACTGATTCAGAAGTAAGTAGAATTTAGGTGTCTGCATTTGAATAATTATCCCCAGAGGTTCTACTGAGATTTCTGTGGACCTCACAAGGAACCAACTGCAGCAATCAGCCAGGAGAATCCTTCATCCTTTTCTGCTCTGTCTTTTGACAGCAGGGATGAATGCAATAGGACTGGAGGTCACTTTCACTTTTAAATGTCCTCCTCCACATGTGTCTTGCCCAGAGAGATCTGGTGACCAGAGACCAAGTTCCAAGAGCAAAGCTGGGGGAAATGGCCAGGTGGTCATGGCCTTGGACTGGATGCTAACCATACCCAGGATTCCCATCGTTCTGTGGAGAAAACCTTAGCGAACTGTTTTCATTTGCATCGACTTAGAAAGCAAGCTCAAATGTGATTCTGTGCCATTCTCTTTAATTACTCCCTGTTTTTAAAAATACTTTGGTACCTTGTAGCAGGATCCGTTATGACAAGGAAATGAAGTGCAGGAGAGGCACTGACGTCTGTGCAGAGATGTGAGCAGAGTTTTAGGTCCCAGCCTCCAATAACCGAGAAGGAAGCATAGGACTGGGAGCCTTGTGAGATTTACTATTTCGGTTCGGGGCTCACTTCCTAGGGCTGCTTCCCTACAGCTTTGTTTCATTTGTTTGGTTTTTGCAGATAGGTTACAGTGTTCTAGTTTTTCCCTCAAAGGATAAGAATTCTGAGACTCGATCATCTTCCTTCCTTCCTTCCTTTGTTCCCTCCCCTCCTTTTTCCTTCCTCCCTCCCTCCCTCCCTTCCTTTTTTCCTTGCATCCATCCATCCTTTTTTTTGAGACAGGCTCTCACTCTGTAGTTCAGACTGGCCTTGAACTTACTGTGTAGCCCAGGCTGGCCTCAAACTCTCCATGAACCTCCTGCCTCAGCTTCCTGAGTACTAGGATTGCAGGTGTGCGCCAGCACCCCTGGCTGAAGCATCTTTTGATAGCAAGTTCTGTTTCAGGCAAGAAGACATCACGGCACCCGATGCACCAGGATCTGCACTATTTCTCCTTTCGGCCCAGCGATCGCATTGTGGCTGCTTGGACTGCGATGGAGCACATTGACCGGAGCAATGGCTGTCTGGTCGTGCTTCCAGGCTCCCACAAAAGCTCCCTGAAGCCACATGGCTACCCTGAGTGGGAGGTAGGTCTGCCTAACCCCTGCATCTTGATCAGAATCTGTCACTGTTTTATCCATGGGGATGAGACATTTCCTTTCTTAGCCAAGCACTGTCCTGAGATTTATAGTTTGGATTAGAGAAAGCTCAAGGCTGTCAGGTAAAATGTTCATCAGTGAGTTTTTTCAACACAAGTTTGAAAGCCAGCTAATGTGGGAGGACTTGGATTGGTGAAGCGTAAGATCTGAGATCCTAAGGCCTAACTGCAGGGGTCAGACATAAACACATCCACCCCACTCACTGGGCAGGTGCCAAGTCTTAACTGACTGATGGTCCTCAGGGTGAAGCAAAGTGAAGGCCAGCAGAGGCTGGTGTTCCAGCTGAACAGGACAGGGTAGACTTTCCTGTAGCAGACAGTAAAGGGCAAATTCAAACCTGGCTGTGGCCTGGGAAGGACCCGGGGAGCTCACTATCCAGTGGGATGGGGTGCTTTTGGGGGAGTGGCAGAAGACAGTCTAACAAGGTACATTAGGACTGTTTAACACCAATGAGTCCCCTGTGTACTACGGGAGCATGGGAGCCTCCCCCTCCCTTTGTACTGGAGATTGAACCCAGGGCTTCACACTGGTGCTAAAGCACCAGGCGTTTTAAGCTTCATTTTTATGAGTACAAGTCTGCAGTACATATTGGTCACATTCACCACAGGGAGTTGGATGGTGTACAGAACACAGCTTAATTCTTTTAACTTCCCCTTCTTCTGCCTTCCCTCCCCTTGCTCTGCATTGTTTTGTGGTTGGTTTGACTGATTGATTAACTGATCGATTTTTTGGTAGCAGGAATCGAACTCACAACCTCGCACCTACCAGGCAGGCGCTTGTGCATTTTTGGGGCACATCCATGTATAGTTACACAAGAAAATACCACCCTCCTGTCCCAGACAACCACTTGAGTTACTTTCTGTTCCTATAGATTAGTCTGCACTTTCTAAAAGGTTATATAAGTCTGATCATGTGGTCACTTTTAGGGGTGTGGCTTGTTTTGCTTAGCGTAGTTACTGTGAGGTTCACCAGTCGTAATGGCTCCTTCCTTTCCGTGTTGCTCAGTATGTTTAATTGCTGGGTTCTACCATTCTGCTGGGGAATACCAAAGGCTTTTACATCCATGAATACTAGGTTTGAATCAGTTCTGAAGAAAATGAATCCTCGTGGTCTAGCACAGGATTTGGTGATGAGTTTAGGACAGACAATTGGAGAGGAGATTCACAGTATTGCAGGGTTAAGACTGAGAGTTCCTGAAATCCCTGTGGAATTTTGATATACATAAACTATAAGCATCTGCTCTGGGTTTTTCTCTCGGCAGCTTTCTCTGCTGAGTCCTGGTCAAAGTTTTGTTTATGATGGCTCTCAGGTGTAGACTTGGCTTCTCTTCTGTGCCCAGGGTGGAGTGAACATAGTGTTCCACGGTATCCAGGACTATCAGAAGGACAATGCCCGCGTGCACCTCATAATGGACAAGGGAGACACAGTTTTCTTTCACCCTTTGCTCATCCACGGATCTGGGCGGAACAGAACTCAAGGATTCAGGAAAGTATGTGTTCACATGGCCACAGTTTTCAAAAATGAGTGGGTTAGAAACAAAAATCTTAAAATTTTGTAGTGCACAAAAGATTTTTTTAGTGCTGTTAATCTGAATTTTATTGACTTCTAATTTTGTTTGAAAATGTGTTTCGGTTTTATAGTCCCAAAAGAACCTTAAATGTAAGTTGTTGATTTATTTTGGGTTTACTGTTTGTACATAGTTAAGTAACATAATGATAAAAAAATATCATTACTATGGAGAAGGACCACAAGATGTTTCTTTTACTTCCCCACTTCTCTCCCCACCACATCCCAGTGATTAAACCACCACCCTTTTAAATTTTGAGACATGGTCTGGCTAAGTTAACATGTCAAAGATTTAGGACTTTTCCGCAAACCAAATTTTAAGTCTAGTTTATTTGCCTCCCTTATAGTTTTGTTTTTTTTTTTTTTTTCCCCCTTGTCAGTAAGATTGCAGGTAACCTTAGGACCCTGCCTAATCTTGTCAACAGGGAATCATGACCGGTGGAGAAATTGCTGTAGAATACTAGCTTCCTTTGGAGCCACTGCTCATAAGCTTAGCAGAGGAAAGTTTCCAGTGTTTTATGATCCAAAATAAAGTTTCTGAATTAGCTGCTCAGAAGTCAAAGTTAGCAGGCAGCCCTGACTTTGTTACCTCAGTCTTGGGGTATTTTAGATTTAATGGTTTTATTGCTTACATTGAAAATCTGACAAAATCTGTCATTAGTTTCTGGACTTCTCACTGTTCTCCGTGGAGACTCCAGTGGGGTCTCCATGATAACAGGGCTGTCCTTACTAAGTTGGGGCTTTACAGTTTGTCCTGTGGCTCCCACAGATCCCTGCGGTCTCCCCAGAATCTCTCCACCTTGCCTAGATTCTTGCTAGCTCAGCAGGGCTGGCATCAAGCGGCAGCAACTGAGAAGCCACCTTAGGACAAAGCAGAAGGGGCTGCCAGAAACCATCAGTGCTTGAGTTAAATACTATTTCAGTAAATCAGAATGTGTGTGAAAATCTATGCTGTGTGCAGCACCAACATTTTTAATAAAAGATAGGGTAGCACCCTGTGCTGTCCTCGGGGCTGCAGAATTAGGGCATATCTATAGCTCACAAGTAATGTGAGTTTGAATATTCTGACTTTACAGTTTTTCAGTATTTTCCTGATGACTTGAACGTTCTAGAAAATTACCCAGCATGGACACAGGAGGACACATTCTCCCCACCCTACCTCCACCCCATCAGCACATCTTTCCCTTTGTGCCAGGCTGTGACATGGCTCTGCCAGGCTCTGGGTGCTGATGTTTGTGGGCAAAGCAGAAAGTCCTTCTGATGGGCACATCACCTCGAGATAATTAACTTGTTGAGGAGGTGAGTTTTAATGACTGCTTTGCAGCTTAGATGCCCTTTTCTGTGGCCCCATGGTGGGTGCAATGGACAGGGCATCTGATTAGGATGAGAAGATCCTAGAAAAGGGAGAAGCTAGTTTTACCCTCAGAAGGAAATAAGATAGACGATAGCATCAGTGTTACCAAACTTTAAATGTCTTTGGAGGAGATGTGTACTACTTTCCTTCTCAAGGTATTTTCAGTTTTCACATATATTTCATATTTTATTAACGTGAGAGCCCACCCCAAATTCAACCTTTATTACAAAGGAGATGATAAACAGCAGGATGCCTTCTTTTGTAGGGTTTCAGGATGTCTACTCATTGGGAAAATAAATGCTTAAAACATTAGAGACCTCTTGGTTAGGAAACCATGTTTCATCTCCTACATAGACTTTTAAAATAAATGGTACAGCTAGTTTTTTTAAAAAAATCTTTGTAATTTCTCAGTTAACTTTTAGCTGGGGTTGGGGGCGGAGGATGGGGCCAAGCTACAGAGGGATTTAGGATTCCACAGATCAGACTTCCAATGGAGGCGTTAAATCCTGAGTGAAAAAACTGATTTTCTGGAAGGAGAACTCCCTGCGTGATTGCTGCTGTAAACAGGAAATTTTCTTCAGCACCAATGTATTCATTCTGCACAGGCAATTTCCTGCCATTTTGCCAGTTCCAGCTGCCACTACATCGACGTGAAGGGTACCAATCAAGAAAACGTTGAGAAGGAAGTGATGAAAATATTTAATAAAATGGGCCTAACTGATGTCAGTCTAAAGGTATGTGTGTCTGAAATGACAGAGGTATCAGATTCTTCTGTTCTTCAGTTGCTTAATGAACACCTCATTTCACTTAAAGTCTAGAGTGCTTGGTTAGGGTTCATTTCAGAAGCCTTCCTAACCCACCAGGGGGTTAGGCCGGGGGGGGGGGGGGGGGCGCTTCAGTTTGCACATTCGCTTCCCCACTTGGGGCCTTGAGATCTGACAGGGTCTTCCTAGGTCTTTGGTCGCCCGGTGTGAAGTGGGGAACCCCATTCCACACAGCGCAGGCTGGGAAAGAGTCAGATGAGAGGAGATGAAAGGCTAAAGCTTCTTTCTGTAGGCATAGGGGTAAAGGCAAAAGTTTGCAATCTCAACCACAGACCTCCTTTATTCGTATGGAATAGAATGCATATGCATTAGGAATTCCAGAAAGACTTCATGGGAGGGCAGTGCCTGAGCAGGTTTTCATTTTGGTTGCTTTGCAACTGGAGTTTTCTGAGGGATAATTTGCATGGAACAGAGATGAATGGCCACTGAGGAACCTTGGAGTGTGTATTACACGTGTGTTTTATCAAGACTCCAGTAAATAGTGCCTATCTATGTAATTATCTTATAAATTATAGTTTATCAGGTTTATTTAGAATAACAATACGCAACATAAATTTTTCCAAGTGCAAAAAGCACTTTTACATTTCTTTCCTTATTTTCTTCACCAAAACCCAGTAAAACAATTGGAGAGCTCCATGCTATAAGGAAGAAATTAAGAGTCCCGAAGGTTTTAGACCTAAGCAGCTGAGTGAGATTTCAGATTCAGGCCTAATTCCCAAATCATTCATTTGAACAAACAGCTAAAAAAGAAACAATAACATTTAGATTGTTTTGTGAAGACAGAGGGGATAGAAACCAGTAACCACAGCGCCATATTCACGGTTATGATCCAATCAGGTGTGGGACCTGAGCAGGGTGACAGGCAGCAGATGGCACTGTGACCAAGTATCCCACCCTTCCAGTTCCGCCACCGTAACTAGCGTCGTGCCAGATTAGCCAGGGCTGACCCTGAGGGATGCGCTGACTTAGTGTAGTTAGTGCTACCATAGATCAATTGGAGTCTCAGAATATGTTGCATTTATGTAACTTACTAGGTTTTTTTCCTTTTACCCACATGTGGAAACTGGAAGTCATTTTTATCTTATGGCAAGTAGGCCAGTGGAAATGCTCTATACATTCTTTCTGTTTGGAATCATTTTCAGGATTTTTGGAAGTTTCGAGCCCGGCTTGTGAAAGGAGAACGAATTAACCTTTGAAATAGCCCCTCGTTACAGTGCATTTCAAGGTCAGGGGACCCAAGATCCAGCTCAGCAGCACAGCACTTGGGAAGCATGAAGTTAAGTTCAAAACAAAACAACAACAACAACAACAACAAAGAAGAAATCAAAATGAAACAAGGAGTCTAAAAAAAGTGTTCTTATTGGAGTGGTGCAATCTTTTCTGTCACTTTTTAACAAAGGCAAGAAATATGTATCGGAGCCTCGATTTTATAGTATTAATTTTGCAGTAGGGTGCTGTTGCTTTAATGGAAGTAAAAATATGAAAGTAAAATACTGTTTTAAGAACAAATTTGTGTTTATAGATAATAAAGTGATAGTGTATAATTTAAATAGAGTCAATCAGTTTCTTTTATTGGATGAGCTCTTTACCCAAGCAGAATGAATTCTTTGAAACTCAGAGTGTTGAATTGTGCCGGTGACCCTTCCACCTACCAAATTCATTTCCAGAGCAAGACACATGTTATGGCACATTCACACTTACTGAAGGGCATACAAAGGAAATCATGCAGCCAAATGCTTGGACACAGGCTTCCTTCCAAGACTTCTTACCCCAAAACCCTCCTAAAAAACACCAGGCTTTTCCTCTGTTCCTAACCAGTGAAAACCAGGGAAACTTTATTTGCATATTTTATTGGACATTGAAGCTGAAAATCAGCATTTATAAATGAAACCTAACCTCTTCTCAGGCAGGAACATTTTTAGATATTTTGCGTGGATTTGTAGCGTGCATAAACTGGGGGGTTATTTGAATATAGCACTGTGTTTCTATACCAGTTGAGGGCACCATGGAGATATGGTCCTTATTTTTCTCAAATTGTAGTTAGGGTTTCAGTAGGGGAAAAGATTCTGAGTTGTTTTCCTATGATTTTGCTGAGCACAAGTTTTCCTAAGCCTTTGTAAGGGAACCCCGCTTAAGTTCAGCTCTTACTGGAAACTGGAGAAGGCAAGCGATAGCAAAGTTCTTAGAAAAATTGTGTTATGAGGCTGGAAATGAGCACCAACAGCACCAGTGGGAGTTGTGTTCCAGAATACTTTTAACCAGTTTCAACTCAGTTTGAAAAACAAAACTTCAAAAGGAAAAAGCATAATTGTCATTTTCTGGGTGCTCTTGTGAAGGAAAGCTACCTAGTCAATAGAGAAACCTGCATTTCACACCATGTCTGTCTCCTCTTTGTCCATTAATTCATGGGACACATTTCCAACACCACTCTGTAGAGGCAAAGAGGGGTTAGGATTGACAGAATGAGCCAGTAGGAAGGTTGGAGAGGGAGCAACCGCTTGAACAAGTGGGCATGACATCAGTCACAGAGACTCAAGGTAGATGCTCAGAACACAGTTTCCAAGCCTGCACCTGGAACCAATCAGAAAATGCTATCTTCAGTTCTCCAGCTGTAACATCAAGCAGGGTTGTGATTGGATAGTCAAGTCCCATTAGGCTGTGTCCTTAAAAAGTGGAAACAGATTGACCCTGACATCTGAAAATAGAAAAATGGAAAAAAAATAATATGTTAGAGAAGAGCTTGAGAGAAACCAATAATAAATTGCTTGTGAAAAGTCAGCATATAAGATTGGTTATGGAAATGCCACTGCTGGGGTGTTGTTTATCCACGTGCATGTGTGTTTATGCAAGCAGCAGAAACCAATGGTGTGGACCCCAAAAGCAAAATCACAAGAGGTTTCCTCTGTGTAACATGCTCGTTTGTGACCACAGGGTGGAGGTGGATCAGGTGCAGATCTGGGTTGGATGCATGAGGTTTCCTTACCAAATGGTGGGTAATCATGCAATAGCTTGAGTTTCTCTTAACATGATAAACACCACGGATTACTATAACTGGAGACAATGTGTTCACTGTTTTACAAGGACAGCTGAATGGTGCTACAAAAATGATGGGAAGTTCATTTACCAAGCAGGTTTTTGATAGGACAGCCTAGATCTGACATCAGTCTGAAGAACAAAGGATATAGATCCTCTACCATTAACCTTATGGCCACTGTGAATTCTCTCAGTGGTCTCTCTCACTCTGCAGAGCATACCTATTTTCTAACTTTTATTAAAGGGTTGAGTGTTATCTTGGTTATTTTTCTCTTATTGTTGAGACAAAATACCTGACTCCCAAAGTGAAGCAAAGAAAGGTTCATTTAGCTTACAGGTTTTTGCATGTTTCAGTCCATGCTCAGCTGGCTCTAAGGCAGGGTGGTGTGGCAGCATTCTCCTAGCATAACTCAGGTGCCACCCTTTTCAGTTGTCAGGACATTAAGAGCTCAGTGGCTCTTGAGGTCTATAGCAGCTAGTGAGTTGATTTGATCTTGGAGGAGATCTACAGACTACAGTTGGGTTTAAAAGAAGTTGGTGAGTTGGAAAAAAAGGGGGAGATAATGTGCAAACATGACGGTTATGAGTCACCTGATGAATAACACTTTTTGAAGAGTGGTTTGAAATGACTGGAGTCTGTATAAATTTGAATGCCTACATGAAAGCAGTTGTGTAAATTAGTGATGATACTTGAGACCTGATGATCTGAAAGGAGAAGTTTGATCCCTGAAAAATCCACCCCTGAGTGTTTTGATTATAGGTAGGTTTGTGAATGAGTTGTGATTTGTGGGTGAATATTGAGGTGGGGGAAAGGTACTTGGGATAAGGGGAGAACATGAGAGGGGCAGGTCAGGATTATAAGAAAGTTGTGAGTAAAGAATAAAGTTTTAAATCTACAGGAGATGGTTATGAAGATATGCTGTCAGGGTACATGGACCCAAGAGCTTAGGAAAAGCAGTATGGGTGGCCTTCATGCTGATAAGGAAAAAGAGTGTTCTTCCTGAGATATCCAGCGAACTCAGGGCTCCTAGAGATACACCTTGATGTGGGCCATGAGCCCCAATTCCTGTCAATCCTCTTCAGCAGTGATTCTGAGCAAGTTGGTAACAGGATTCTCTGTGAGGGCAGGAGCTGGAGATGTACCTGATCTCTGGTGGACAGGGCAGTTGCACTTCCAGTGTCCCTTTCGTTTGCAGATGGGTCAGGATCCTGGTAATGGCTGCAGGTTAGGGCAGACTCCTGCCCAGTGTCCATCTGTGCTGCACTTGAAGCGTGGTCCTGGAGGGCCTCAGGTTTTAGATTCTCCTTTGGCCTGTATTTTATTTTCAGCCCCAAATATCACAGACAAAAATTGTCAGATAAGTTTAGCTTGGGGTTTAGCTTTTTCTAGATCGTTTTGTTTTTGTTGCTCCTGTCTATGATTGAAGACACACAAAGCCACATCTAGGAGAGTCCCCTGTGGGGACTGAGGGGCAAGATCTGACTTTTTAAATTTGGCTCGATGTCAGGTGCTACTTGGGAGATAAAGTGGGAATTAATAAGGATTACCCCTTCAGGTGAATGGGTATTTACATCCATAAATCTGGGGAGGGTCTCAGTGAGATGAATTAAAAATTCAACAGGATTTTCATTGGCTCATTGGGACTATTCCTGAAGTTTCTGATAATGAGTCTGTTTATGCAAAATGTTCGGGAGGCCTGTTAGAATATGATCAATCCTTTGCGCCATGCATTGTGAGCCATCAGCAGTGGGCTGATAATCCCAATGGGAGTCATCTTTTGGCACCACTGCTGGCCCTCTGGGCTATGCAATATCAACCTGATGGTTTTGGCCCGCTGCTGTTTAGGCTGCCTGCCAGATCTGCCGTCTATTATGAAGGAAAGGTAGAAGTGAGAATAACTGACAGATCTTTGTTGGCCAGATCATAGGATTGGATGACAAAGTGAAGTTCTTTGGTGTAATTATGGGAGATGCCATGCCGAGCCAGGCAGAGCTTGACACGGGGGAATCCATCATTGTTTTCCCAGCACCTGGAGATACACATGAGGTTGGTTATTTGTGCTCACTCTTTTTTTTATGTGATGTGAACATTCATAGCTATAAATTTCCCTTTTAGGACTACTTTCATTATGTTCCATAATTTATGGTATATTGTACTAGAATTATCATTTTGGTCTAGAAACTATCTTATTTCTTCCTTGATTTCTTCTGTAGCCAATTGTTTAGTTTGCACAGTATTGTTTGGCTTGCATAATTTTTGTGAGTTTTGTCATTCATTTCTAACTTCAATCCACTGTGATTTTATAATATATGTGGTATAATTTTAATTCTTTTACATTTACTTACCCTTGCTTTCTTGGCTAGTATGTGGTCTATTTTGGAGAAAGTTCCATGTGCTACTCAAAAGAATGTGAATTCTATTGTTATTGGATAGAACACTATAGGTGTATATGAAATCCATTTCTTATTTTTCCATCAACTTTGATAGAAATTTTTGCAGGATACATCAACCTAGGTTGGAAATTTTTTCCTTTTAGGGCTTGAAACACTTAGCTCCAACTTTTCCCAACTATCAAAGTTTGTGTTGAAGGACCTGCTATAATTCTAGTGTGCTTTCCTTTATGAATAATCCATTGCTCTTTTTTTTTTTTTTTTTTTTCTTTTCTGACATAGTATCTTGCTATGCGGTTCAGACTGGCCTTTGGCTCACTTGTAGCCCAAGCTGGTCTGGAACTTGTCACAGTCCGCCTGCCTCAGCCTCCTAAATGCTGGGATTACAGGCGTGAGCCACCACACCTGGTGATCCATTGCTCTTATCTAAAAGCTTTTAAGGCTGTTGTGCTGGATTTCTTGAATTCACCTGACTCTGATGGGTAGGCGAGAAATTATTTTCTGATTGTAACTCTTTGAGGCTCTATATACCTCACTTATCTGTATTTTAAATTATTTCCCCTTATTTGGGAAACAGGATTCTTGTGGTCACTTGTCCTGTCTGTTTTCACTAATTCCCATTAATTTTAGATTAACCTTATTTTTCTTTTTTTTTTTTTTTTCTGGTGCTGAGAATTGAACTCAGGACCTTGTACTTGCCAGGCAGGCGCTTAAGCTGCTGAGCTATATCCCTGGCCTAGATCTTCTTTGATTGATCTAGTAGCTTTTGGATATGTTTTTCATGTTCTCTTGTAGTTTTTAAATATCTCTCATGAACTGGTCACTGACAGCAGCCCTGTCTTCCAGTTCTGACACTGTCCTTATATTGGTGCATGGCTTCTGCCTTCCATTCATTTAATTAAATTTTTAATCCCCTGAATTTCTATTTGGTACCTTTTTATGGACTCTCATTCTTTTCTACGCTGGTCGGTCATGTTTTGGATTATTTTGTTTAGCTTCATTGAGATTTAAAAAGTGTCTTACGTAGACTCACTGATTGCTTTATTTGGCCTAATATCTGTTTACTTACCTCTTCTGTGAGCTTAGCAAATGTCTTCCCTGATATCATTGCACATGATCCAAGTGT